GGGATGTTGGGACATCACCACTCTATGCGATATCCAGCACCTTCCCTGATGGCATCAAGAACAATGATGACCTCCTTGGCGTCCTCTCCCTCATCCTCTACACCCTCATCCTAATACCAATGGTCAAGTACGTCTTCATTGTGCTTTATGCAGATGACAATGGAGATGGTAAGCTGATAAATCAGGAAATTTCAACCTATCAACCTGATATAGTCACCATATGCCTGCTGTTTATTCGGTACTTCACATTTAACAGCAACATACTGCTGTTCTAGGTGGCACGTTTGCTCTCTACTCACTTATATCGCGGCACGCCAAGGTAAGGCTGATACCAAACCAGCAGGCTGAGGATGCTATGGTGTCAAATTATGGCATTGAAGCACCCAGTTCGCAACTGAGGAGGGCACAGTGGCTGAAGCAAAAGCTCGAGTCTAGCAAAGCAGCAAAGATTGGCCTCTTTACCATTACAATCCTTGGCACATCAATGGTGATGGGGGATGGAACCTTGACACCAGCAATTTCTGGTAACAGAAACAACATATGGAAAAGTCATAAGGACATTCATATTCAGTATGCAAAATCCTAATGCGTTTCTTGTTCTTCTAGTGCTCTCTGCAGTGAGTGGGATCAGAGAGAAGGTGCCAAGCTTAACTGAAAGTATGTGAAAAAAGAGCTTCTACAAACATTGATCAGTTGGTACGCTTTTGTTCAAAATGTAAATTGTTTGCTATCATTTTTCGTGCAGCCCAGGTAGTCTGGATTTCAGTGCCAATTTTGTTTGTGCTCTTCTCAGTCCAGCGCTATGGTACAGACAAGGTTGGGTATTCCTTTGCTCCGATCATCACAGTGTGGTTTTTTCTTATTGCTGGCATTGGAGTGTATAACCTCATTGTACATGAGATCGGTGTTCTTCGAGCCTTCAATCCAATGTACATAGTAGATTACTTCAGAAGAAATGGGAAGGAAGGATGGGTTTCATTGGGTGGTGTTATCTTGTGTGTCACAGGTAAACTTTTCATCAAAAAAGTGCAATTGCAATGGTAGTCTATAGCCTACAATCTCAATGGTCTGTCATATGCAATAGGCACAGAAGGAATGTATGCAGACCTAAGCCATTTCAGTATCAAGGCCATTCAGGTAACAAGGACATTCACACCCATGCTCTTTGCTTCACCATGTTGACTCTCCCAACACTACATCCAATTTTACAAGAAGCAATTTTCAAGTTTGTAGAACAGAAATAACTTACAATGTTCGCTGTGTTTTCACCTACAGATCAGCTTTAGCACTGTCTTATTGCCCTCAGTGGCACTGTGTTACATCGGGCAGACAGCTTATCTAAGAAAATTCCCAGAGAGTGTCGCAGACACTTTCTTTAGATCAATCCCAGGTATAACAAATTAGGCCTACAGTTTTTCTTCATGGAAATGAGAACGCATAACGAGCAAGATAAACTCTATGTTCTAATGCAGAGCTAATGTTCTGGCCAACCTTCATTATTGCCATTCTTTCGGCTATCATTGCAAGCCAAGCTATGCTGTCAGGCGCATTCGCCATCCTCTCCAAGGCTTTATCCCTTGGCTGTTTCCCTAGTGTTCAAGTGATTCATACCTCGAAGAGCTACGCGGGCCAGGTTTACATTCCTGAAGTGAACTTTTTGATGGGATTAGCAAGCATCATAGTCACGATCACCTTCAGAACCACCACCGAAATTGGCAATGCTTATGGTAAGCAACTAGAAGATCCAAAATTTGTTTTTGACACCCATAACAGATAGAAATCACATTTATGTCATTTGATTTTGGTGATGTGTAGGGATCTGTGTTGTGACTGTGTTCTCAATCACCACTCACTTGACGACTATTGTGATGTTACTCGTATGGAGGAAAAAGTTTATCTTCATCTTGCTTTTCTATGTGGTGTTTAGCTCCATAGAGCTAATTTACCTCTCATCCATACTGACGAAATTCGTCCAAGGTGGGTACCTTCCATTCTGCTTCTCGCTTGTCCTCATGGCCTTAATGATAACATGGCACTACGTCCAAGTCATGAAATACTGGTATGAGCTGGACCATATCGTGCCAGCGGATGATGTGACAGCACTGCTTGAGAAGCATGAAGTGCGGCGGATCCCTGGGGTGGGCCTCCTTTACTCAGACCTGGTTCAAGGTATTCCACCTGTATTTCCACGTTTGGTGCAGAGGATACCCTCTGTGCACTCGGTCTTCCTGTTCATGTCGATCAAGCACTTGCCTATCCCACATGTGGCTCCCGTGGAGCGGTTCCTCTTCCGGCAGGTCGGGCCAAGGGAGCACCGAATGTTCCGGTGTGTGGCGAGGTATGGGTACAGTGACATGCTAGAAGAGTCGGTGTTGTTCAAAGGTTTCCTCTCGGAAAGGCTAAAAATGTTCATCCAGGAAGAGGTTGTGTTTGAGATGAACTCTACAGCCGGAGATACCCAAACAAGTCCCGATGAGGTGATCGATCCCGAGGTGTGTGGCCATGATGAGAACATCACCTCTGATTTGGCTCTTTGGGTCGAAAAGGAAAAGCAACTAATTGACACGGAGATGGAGCGAGGGGTGGTCTACCTTATGGGGGAAACCAATGTCATAGCAGGACCAAAATCATCTGCGGCAAAGAAGATAGTGGTAGACTATGTCTACACATTCTTGAGAAAGAACTTGATGGAAGGGGAGAAGGTGCTCTCCATTCCAAAAGACCAACTACTCAAAGTAGGGATCACATACGAGATATAGGTGAGCCTAACTAAGCCATTCTTGTTCATATGCTGACCTGAATAAGATAGTGAAGTGCAATTACTGATTAGCGGCCATCCAAGCAATAGAGAATTTTACATGAAGGTTTTCTTTTAGTTTTGTAGGCATGATGTTGTCAATGTTAAAGTATATCACAACTAGGATAGAGTTAGTTGAGATTACCATCCTGTGTACCAACTTAGCCTCAAGTCATGTAAACTTTATATATATTGAGAGGCTCAACGTAAATCATTCAGTTTCATTCAATTCTATTCCTTCCACATGGTATCATGAGTTTAAGTTCTAATATTAGGCACAAAGTTCTAATATACTCCCTTTGTTCTTTAATATAGTGTATTCAAGCATTCAAAAAATTTATAAAAATATAAGGGATTTGAGAAAACAAGAGAGAATTTTACACTAACTAGTGTCACAAATTTGGTAGGTATTATACTGTTACTTGTCATTTATCAACTAATCTGCATTAATCACGTTAATGATAACGTTTGATTAGGAAATGAAGTAAGGGTATGTGTTTTTGTGTACTCTCTTAATTTGTCCTGAAATCTCTAGAATATATATATTATATTGTAGGACGGAGCAAGTAAAATGCCTCCTTGGTCTGTAGCACCATCGCCGCGCCCATGGTAGCCACCACATTTATCCACTATGGCACTTTCCGTTGTATCTACATTGTTGTCACCTATGCATCAACAACTATTGCGCCTCTTGCGAGCCAATTGTCTACACTTGGTCTTCGCCAAGTTGTTTTAGTTCTTCGTTGCCGACATCAAGTACTATTGACGCTGTCGCCAAACCTTGCGTTCAGACCACTTGCCTTTAGGTAGGAGCGTTCGCTCCTACACTGCTTCTTCATCAAACACAGCCTTGTCGCTAGTGTCACCATCTCTTCCCACACCTACTTTGTCTACTCCAACAACAGTGGGCTGCATCGGCACCTTTTACCCCGATGCACACCACAATTGTCACCAAGGCCCTCTCTACTAGTTCCTTACACACTGGCGTATGGTTGGGGCCCTCTATCTAGTACGTCTAGTATTGGCAACACTAGTTCATGCCTTCATAACCCGATGCACAATTCGTCTATGGTGGATGCCTTTGTCCTTGATGCGTTCCAAGGCCTAACCCGACGTACACTTTGTCTATGGTGGCTTGACTGCATCAGCTTCAGCACTGACCTTCTCGTCCTCGTCTAGACGTCCAGTCTACCTCGATTGCATCATATTTTTTGTTTACTTCTTTGACGACCCTGACTATGTCGACCTTAGCATCACCCCCTTCCATGGGAGTAGATCAAGCTATCCGTACATGTCTATGAGCTCTCTATACATGCCGGTAACATCACTGCTCCAGAGAGCAGCAGAGATGGGAGAAAGAACCAATGAACATTTCTATATCACCATTACTCAAGGTTTCCAAAATTATCTGTCGAATGCTAAAGATCGAGTCGACAAATATTCTGGAGGCAAAGGATATACCCAAGGGAACTCATCAACTAATAGTACTAGCATGAAGACTGCCAAATAACGCCCATGATCAAGCTGATGTGCACACAAACCCACCATGGGTTGTTAGCTGCATGAGAATTGGTACAGTACCTTGGATTGGAATCCCACCATTTCCCATTAGAACAGAAAATCAAAGATCTAACATAGTATCTGATGATCAGCAACAGCAAGGCATTTTGAAGATGCTGAGATGTGGGACTAACCAAAGATTTTCTAGGCTTAGAAGGCAATGGTAATATTTAGATGATTGCCCATAACTATGATGGTAATGTAATAGCATTAAGCTTATTCTTATGAGCAGCAGAAATCTCACCAACATATGTACTATTACCATTACCACCTTGTAGAAAATCATCTGGGATGAATAAGAACAAATAGTTTAATCACTACAGTAGCTGAAATTTGTGCTTATGTTGCCAATAGAAGCTGTGACACTAGCAGTCCAGCAGGTGTTAGGCTATAGACCTTATCATCTAATTGGAATTCAGAAGCTGGGTCATGTATCAATTTCTTCCACAGAATTCTGAAGGCAGCATAGCCAACTCCCAATTGCATCTAGGAAATCCCACTGCTCTAGCCAGTAAAATACTAAAATCTCGTATTTCGATTCAACATGAGGACTGTGAGTGTAAGCATGGTACACAACAGTACCACATTGAATAGAGTAAAGCTGACAGCGATATAGAAAAAAAACCTCATCGGGCTTTATTTATCACAGGCTCTTCAGCCATTCCCGGAAATGTGCTTGCATTTTATCTCGGCTTGTCGCGTTGCCAACAATAACAGTAGGAATTACCTTTTGAGGTCTCAGAAACTACCAATGCAAATATTAACCTATAGTTAGAATTCAGCTAAGATGAGAACAATGTAATATTAGGTTCAGGGATTTACCATCACAAAATCCCTAAGCTCAGTGAAACTTGAATGCTTGCTATAAGGCACACCTACAAGCATAGAAAATCAGTTTGAAACAACTCATAATTGAATGAAATCTGTATGGTAGTTTGGTATTGGGAATGTTTATCATGAACACGTGATACATATTGGATAGTAATAAGGCAATATGGAGCCATCGTTTTGCATTAAGACTCTCAGTTTGGAACCACATGTACTTCTAAAACAAATTGAGCTTAAAATCTTCAAATAATCAAAGGAACCTCTAATGTAGGATGCACCTCTCTTGACTTAATAAGCTGCAACTGCAACTGTCAATCTCTATTCGGTATGGAAGATCAGATATTTCATATCGGTAAAAATAACCATTATAAAGATAGCACTTAGCAAAAGTAAGTTTTGGATCTTCTGGCAAATCAGCCATTTGAATTCAGGGCTTCCCCAACGCTGCTTTTCTACTAGTAGCCCCAAGTGCTATGTAGGATCGGATAAAAAAAGTAGGTGCTCTATACTTGTTATAGTGGCTTGCAGAAGCTACATATGCTTGGGGAGAGAGAAGGTGGTCCATGCTTAAAAAAGAAGAGGGAGAGGAATAAAGGTGAGGTATGATGAAAGGAAAAAGTTTTTTTGCAAACCACAAGTAGTGATAGTTTGCATTGTGTGAATAGTAGTCTCAACATTTTCTAGTCTATGTGGATCACTTTATTTGTACTAGAACCACTAGGAGTGTTAGCCTCCATTGGTGGTGCCCTCAGGAGATCAATAAACTCAGTCTGCATTTGACAAAGAATAAGTCCAGACTGTGTATACTAAAAGAATTCCTCGTTTGGAATAGTTTGGGTTCTTATTGACCTTTCATTAGCAATAAATAAGAGGAAAACCATTATCACCATAACCAACAAATCCTACCATAGATTGTTACACTGCCATTAGAGCTTGGTTTTATTAGGTCAAGATGCTTTCTAGTTGCCTCAGAGAAAGTCCAACCTGATAAAACAATAGAGATAATCTTGAGAACGATGTGAATGCGTATTCCAGAAGTACAAAAATTTAACTCCCGAACTTCATTAACCTGTAGGCCAAAAAGCCAGCACAGCTAGAAATCTTCCATTAAGAGTCTCCAAGTACTTCTTCAAGTTCTGACAAATGCTACTTTGTAGTCAGAGAGGTTCACTTGTTGAATTCATTGAATTCATATGAGATTCATTAACAAACCTCATGATTTACAGATCCAAGGGGCAGAACATGAAGTGGTGAACTTTGATTGCATGAACATATCCTTTTGGATAAGTCTGACCAGCCAAATGAGTGAAGAATCCGCCTCCTTGATGCATCAGTGTATATAGGGACCTTTCATGAATATATTAACCAGAGAATAAGGTCTGCATGTTCCAAAATTAATAGTAAAGTTCAACTGTAAAGTACCTCTAAAGCTTGGGAAATTGCTAGATACACATTCTCTTTCCCAATGCTATATGCCCCAACAACAATGAGGGTTTTTGGTTGCTTCTTTAGATATCTTCGAGCTGTCCTCACAACAAAATCAATAACGTCCTCCTGGGGTGGGAACCTACAGTTTACCATGTTCAGCAAAGTGCTGATAAAAGAGAAAATGCCTAAAACTTGAGGGTCGTATACTTACGTGTACTTGGGATGGCAATATGTTGTGTCCAGGTAAACCAAATTTACCCGGCCTCTCTGGAGAAGTGGATGCAATTGCATAGATTTTGATACTATAAAATCCCCAGCGTGGAGATAGGTCTTTCCATCACTTAGACGGAAGTGGATTAGAGCTGCACCAGGGCAATGGTTGGCATCCAACAAGGTAACTGTCACTCCCTCTACGACATATTCGGTATCAAGCTCCAAAGGACAAATGTAGCTGCAGTCATTGATTTGAATACATGTTGCTGGGGCCTGAGAAGTCACCATGAAACAATTCAAAGAGGGAAATAGAAGGGAGCCTTACTCGGAATTTAGTGACAGACACATCTTCACTAGGCGTGCAGTGAGTGCAGAACAATAGATGGGGCCATGACATCATCTCTTGGTCAATCCACCGTTACGGTCATGATGAAAGTGGCTAAGGAAATATGCCGAGCATCCCTCAACTTGTCCATACCGAAATGCATCCACCGTGAATGGTGTGCCTAGGTTCATTAAATTTGCAGGTGCATGGCCGAGATTGGCAAATTAAAAAATTGACGATAACAACAATTCAATGGATGCTCAGCAATTCAATGTATGCCATCCTTAGTAGGCAGTAGCTCAACAGGCATACCATATATTCTCAATTTAGTGAAAAAAGCCTAAACTATAACAAACTAATTTGGGACTAATTTCGTATCCAACCATGAAACGCAGCGGCCTTTACCGGGAATCTTCTTGTAGAAGGGGCACGCGAGGGGCTTCTTGGCCGTCACCCCCTCCTCCTCGGTACCTCGGGAGGAATCCGCAGCCCCGAGCCCCGAGCCCCTCGCTCCGCGGCCTCTCGATCCCCCACGCTGGAAGAGGCTCCTCTGCACAAGCGATGAATCCCCAACCTCCCGCCACGGCTTCTCGATCCCCCAAGCCTGGAAGAGGCTGCTCTGCACGAGCGAGCCGCCTCCCCTCTCCTTCTCCTTCACACCGGGTGGCCCTCCGGGCGGCGGAGGGGCGCGCAGGGAGGACCAGTCGGTGCCGCTGCGGTAGAAGTCCTCCGCGAAGCCGCTGCTAGAGGCGGCAGGGGAGGAGGGTTGAGCCGGCAATCCGTTGTCTTCGAGGTCGGCGGTGACCAGTCGGCGGGGGAACACGGAGAGACGAGGGAGAGGGAACGAAACGGTGCCCGGACGTTGGGAAGCGTACAAAAGAAGATTGGCAAATGTGAAGGGGACACGTTGATTGTGAACCGTTCGATCAGTTTGACACTTTGACCACGACTCGGATCGGACGGCATGGGATCCATCTTGTAATTAGAGATGCTGATGCTGTATTGACCGTCCAACTCGGCATTGATTTCGAGACTTTTGTATAGATTTTTTTTTGTCAAAATGGGACTGCTATATGAATTTTTTAGGGCGTGTTCGGATCCTCAGTAGAGTTTGCCACATGTCATCACCCCGTTAGGACAGTTCCAACCCATAGTTTCTATGTCAGTTTCCAAGATAAAATAGAACAATAAATGATCTATAGAAACTAACCTTCACGACCCAAAGTTTCTATAGTAGTTTTTATGTAGAGAAAAATTTAATAGCCTCGTACATGCATCACGAAAAGAACGCTGATCAACCATGGCAAGCATCCAAGTAGCTTGCGTGAAGTTGCCAATACAGAAAACTAATTAAAACCTGTTCTTGCGTATATAGTATTTCAGTATCGCAAGATGATGTTGTCCAATCACCAATGTGCAGCAAGAAACAAAGCAGGTGGGATCCTTGCTTTGCAATGAAGAAATCTGAAGCTGGACAGAACATACCACAAAGGAGCCGACGGAACAAAGACACCCGTCCACATAAACTGTCGCATAGGATGAAGGGCCGGATTGAGTATGTGCATGCGGGAGCAGAGGGCGGAGCCGACCATCACGCGCGCCGGAGCATCGCCTAGGAGAAGAACGCCGAGCAGTGGCGGAGCGTCGCTGTTGTGCCGGGGGACGGAACGGAGGAGCGGGGTGCAGCGTCGTCGGCGCAGGAGAGGATGGAGAGAGCGCATGCCACGAAGAAGTCAGGAACAGCGGATCCCATCGGAAGGGCATAGAAACGACGCGGCTCATCCCAACGCTAAATCGATGATTGCCTGGTGCGTAGGAACAAGAGCCGACACCGTTTCTCTCTCTCTCCTCTTAATGACTCTCCTTCCACGTTAGCAAAATGATGACGTGGCAGTCTATTTAAAGCTATAGAAACCATCGTGGTTTCAAGGTTAGGACTACCCTTATCTCGTATAACCTCAGTTAGCGTTTACTGCTGGTGTGCCACACCTTGCTTAGGTGTCGATGGTTCATTTGCATGCCAAAACTCACAAAAAGTGCGGCGCTGTTTTTGTGTGCTAGACTTGCAACATGGCGGGCTGTGGTAGTAAGCCAAACATGCCCTTCTACTCCCACCGTCCCACAACAAAGAATGTCTTTCTCACCTCCTGAGAAGTCAAACATTCTTAACTTTTACTAATTATATATAAAAAAATATTAATATTTATAATATATAATTAGTATCATTAGATAAATCATGAAATATATTTTTATAACATTTTTTAGTGAAACAAATATTGTTAGTATTTTCTATAAAGCTAGTTAAATTTGAGAAAGTTTGACCAGCACGTGTACCATAACATAATTTTTGGGAGAACGGAGGGAGTACTCCTCAAAATAAACAGAAAGCTAGAAAAAAAAACTAGCGAAAAGACGGTAACCAAATGTTGCTTTGGCTATTGGGTTGGTTTAGTTTGCGCACTGTATATTTGGTTGACAATAATTAAAGATATACAAGAATATAGCTAGAGCCTCAAATTAAGTACTCTTTCCATCCTTGAATAAATTATTTTCTAGAGTTATCTTAAGTCAATTTTTTTACTTTAACCAACTTTAAAAGAAATAAGTATAAATATTCTTGACACTAAATGAGCATATTATAAAAATAGTCTACTGGTGTATCTAATTATACTAATTAATTTTATGTCATAAACTTTGACATTATTTCTATAAATCAGTTAATTTTTAAAGTCTGGCTTAAGGTAACTCTAAGAACTAATTTATTGAGAGAGAGAGAGAGAGCGCGAGTAATCACACACAACACAATATATGATGGGCGAGGTGATCCTGACAGCATGGATCCGAAGCGCTGGCCTGTGGAGATCGAGGGCCTCTGATTGGCTTCACAATTAATGGTGCCCGGGTCCGGTTATTGTGGAGTCTGACAGTGCTAGGATTGTGAAGGCAATGTCTAATCGCAACGTCGATAGATGAGATATTAGGCCAGTCTCAATGGGTTTTTATTAGTTTTAGGCATTAAAAGAATGATGTTGCAGTATTGCTGAAGAGAGGATAGATAAGTTCCAGAAGGTAAAGAGAGAAGGGATGAAACTCTGGCCCCAAAATAAATTAGTCCAATTAGCTAGACGGCCTTAGAGATACTGTTATGGAGGCAAAAGAATATATGCAGCTGCTGGAGCTACTGTTCCAGAGGTAAAAGAAGGCAACAAGGTGCACACAAGAGTCAATTAGCGATACGGAGGAGTCATACTATATATATGCACGACTACTGTACGTCGATATATACATAGATATCAGCGATATGGATATATATATATATATATATATATATATATATATATATATATATATATATATATATATATATATATTGTGGAATTCTTGGCCTTTGATGCCACCCAGACAGTTGATGGAGTGGTGGTCTTTCTCCTTACGCTAGAAGTACAAGTATGCAGAGCAATCAAAGTTGTTACATGCAACAAGCTAATAGCCAAAATATTAGATATTTACAACAAAAAATGGTGACATACAATTAGCAAATAGTTATACACCTTCACGGTCATCCCATCAGGTTGTGTTCGCTCATTAATATGCCATGGGCAATCAACACCAGCGCAATCAGCAATGTACCTCTTCTTATCTGTTTTGACTAAGTGAAATTCAAACTCCTCATTTATTACAAATTGTTTCATGTCCAGTCTAAACTCCTTCATGTTTGGATACACGGTGCCAATATCCATACAAGGCTCGTTAGGATCATAAGCATAAGCATAGAGTATTTCCCTTGGTACATGATCATCAACAAGAATTGCAGTACCAATTGTGTCAATATCAATGTCAGCGGTTCTATTTTCAACTGTGCTGTCCCTCTCAGCAGCAGCCTGAGCTTCAGCCTCACTAGGCCTATCATGTTGATCATCGTCAGTTCTCAAACCTAGAAGACAGAACAACTGATCCTCATTAATTATATCTAGCACACCGTCACCCTCTTTGTCAACTGTATCACCTGACCGTGGCGTCGGGGTGCCTCCTATTGCGCCGGCCGCCTCCTGTGGGTTCGGCCGAGGGAGCGCTCGTCAACGTCGCCGGTGACGGAGCTCTCCCAAATCCCACGCCTGGCCGATTCCGCCAACCGTGCCCCACGGCTGAGGAGGCCATGGCCGCCGGCGGGCGTGACCTCCGCCACACCACCACCCATCATGCACCACAAACGCGACGTTGGGGATCAGGTCGGAGACAGCACGCGGCTGGTGCTGCCAGCATGGAGCCTCAAGGCCACCGAGGAAGCAGCCTTGACGACTCGATCCGCACTGCTCCGAGCTTCCGACGAACAGCTGTGAAGAAAAAGGTATGCAGCCTACGCTGGTGAGCCGCTCCACACTAGCACCAATCTATTAATTTTTTTTATTGTTTTAGATCCTTTTTATTTGAACGAATGCCTTTGTTTCAATCGTGATAAAGCTCATCATCATATTTTGGCAGGATTGATGAGTAAAAATTGTTACTGCATACCACGAGATGACAGGTGAGGTTCCTTGCTTGCCCCAACAACAACAGCTAGACCATAAGCATCTGGACCCTCTTTGCCAACAAAGAGGTGACTATTCCCAACGTTTCCCTCAAAAACAACTATTCCCAATGTTTAATGTGGCTGCATTTTGAAACAAGCATGATTTCTTATTTTGTTGGTCCCTCTGCTTCCTCATAGCAATATTTTCTATTTCTCACACTTATTGCAGATCTTTGTTCAAAGGAACTTGTCATCCTCAGTAGGAGCAAAGACGTGTGATATGTCTGCGAGTTACTGTTCTATTTTTGTTGACGGAGATTGTATATCGGTGCTCGCAGGGTCTCGTGGCGGATCATCTCCTTCCAGCAGGAGGAGGGCCGCGGGAACGAGGCGCATGTCGCCTCCATCCACGCCTGCCACTCCAAGATCGAGGCCGAGCTCGCCCGCATCTGCGATTGAGATCCCGCACCTGTGGTAGATGAAGGGCGACTACCACAGGTATAACCATTATCGCAGGCAAATCTCACTTTTTATTCTTCGTATCTGCCTCTAGACGGAGTTGATGGATTTTCACTTTATTATATGAGGGATCTTTGTGTTTAGGATTCATATTAGCGGGGGTTTTGAGTCCTTGTTTGGGCACACTTGGCATCTGTTTCATCTGCTTATCATATGTATGACCAGAAATTAGAGACGCTAACACTTCTCTTCAGTACACTTCTGGAATAAGCATTTTTTTATTCTCTGAAATTTTTCTTGGTGCCCTTTATATATGATAGGTTATCAAGAGCGAAACATCTGGAAACTTTGAATTTGCACTTTTGACTATCCTCAGATGCGCAGAAAACCAGCAAAGTATTTTGCTAAGGTATTGCACCCAAGCTGTTTTTCAGTAAAGAAATATTGTGGCTTTGATAACCTATGCAGGCACCATGGGTATATAAAATCATTGATTGATTTAGAGTCAACTATGTTTTCCTAATAGATTTAGCCATAGCCAACAACTGTTCTTCTCTCCTATGAAATTATAATTTAATATTTGGTGAAACAAATAGCACTTTTGTGCCGCCCCGGGAGACATGACGATCCTGGCTGCCGCAGACGCCACCAACAACACTCCATCCCCACAGACAACCTCCGCCGATAGACGCCTCAAGCACTTCACCGAGAGAGTCACAAAGTGAAAGGTCCTAATGGCTAGAGGGGGGTGAATAGCCTATTAAAAATTTCTACAACAACACTAAAGCAAGTGATTAGTTAATAAGATGGCGAAGCGGATTTTACGCTAGCACTACACTTGGGGTTGTAAGCCACCTACCCAATTATAATTTCTATGATCTCTAGTATGTCATACAAGAGCTATGTTGCTAAATTACACCTAGGTGAACAAAGCAAGCTAGATAACTACAACTAAAGAGTTACACAAGCTACAAGCACTACACAAGGTGAATACAAAATAATGAGAGAGAAGGGTAGAAGTGATATACCGCCGTGGCAAGTGATCGATCAATGAATACCGAGGAGACAATCAAGACACAATGATTTTTCCTCCGAGGTTCACTTGCTTGCCGGCAAGCTAGTCCCCATTGTGACGATTCACTCACTTGGAGGTTCACACGCTAATAGGCATCACACACCTAACCCGCAACCGGGTCACTTTCCAACGGCTAAAAACTAGCCGTTGGGGCACCGAATAGGGTGGCGGTGGCACCGCCCCTAGGGTGGCGGTGACCACCCGGCCATCTGCCCGAATGATGCATCGCCCTCAGGGCGGCGGTGACCAACCCCATTTCACCAGTCTCTAGAAGAAAATGGCGGTGGCACCGCCCTCCTCGCGACGGTGACCGGGCGGTGCACCGCCATCATGGCGGCGGTGTACACCGGACGCACCGGTGCCCGCTTCACTTCTCCTGAGTCTCGGCCATGTCTAGGTGGGCACCGCCCTAGGGGTGGCGGTGCCCCCAGGGCAACTCGCTACTCTCGGCCTCCCAGCCGGCACTGCCACAGGGGTGGCGGTGCACTGGACAAGGGGTGGCGGTGCCCCCTTGGCAGCCCCCCAAGTCAAGTTTTGCCTCCTTTTCTTAACCTTTCTCACCACCTTTGCAAATGTGCTAACACTCCAAGTGTTTCACCATCACGTGCAGTGTGTTAGCATTTTCACAATCATTTTTCAAAGGTCAATCACTTTCTCACCGAATGTGCACTAGGCTAAAATGCATATGCATGTTTCCAACACCTAGTGGCACTGATGATCAAGTTGTCCGATAAGAGCTCCCCTCTTAATAGTACGACCATCTATCCTAAATATGATCACACTCGCTAAGTGTCTTGATCACCAAACCAAAAAGCTCCTATTAAGTTTCACATTTGCTTTGAACTTTTTGTTTTTCTCTTTCTTCTTTTTCAAGTCCAAGCACTTGATCATCATGGTCACCACACCATCATCATGATCTTCACCATTGCTCCATTACTTGGAATAATGCTACCTATCTCATGATCACTTTGATAAACTAGGTTAGCACTTAGGGTTTCATCAATTCACCAAAACCAAACTAAAGCTTTCACAAAGGTGAGGCAGCTGCCACTCCTGGAGCTGCCCGGAGATGATACGACCCACACTGGACGTACACCGCCCGCGCTCCCCAAGAGGAGCAGACGGATAGCGGCGCAGAGCATATCGTATATCCCGACGTCCAAGCGAGGTGAGCACCTTCTCTTGAAGCGCCTGGGACTAACCGGCGGAATGTCATCGCCGTCGATGTTGGCCCTGAAGGCGTACGATGAAATCTACAGCGGTGACCCCCATAATATGTAGGCGCTACGTGACATCTTCACTATCAGATTTGGAATCAGAGAAGCGTAGAGCTGTATTTCAACTTCGTCCCTCTAACCAAACGCGGAACAGAGACGTCCCCATCCCTCAACCAAACACCTAGCAGGGACCATCAAATTCCAAAATGCTAGAGTGGATCCAAGCGAGTTCATGGAACAGGGAGAACGAGGACGGGGATGGTTCTCCATTTCCATCGCCGCAAACCTGATGGGGACTAGTATAGTGGCCGTGCTAATGCCGCAAGCCTGACTTTTCGATTAATGCATATATATATAATTCAAGTTTTCATGTGCATCTCTAAAATCACGCCGTGGTGTTAGCACATGCACTATACTAGTATACTTTATAATCTCAGACAGAGCCTTCACCGAGTATCACAAGAAGAGAAAGATGCATATATCTTTCTAAGGAGATGTCACAATAGATCGTAAGGACATGTTTATCCTATCACAATCGTCAGCAAAAACCAGTGCAGGTTCTAAGTGATGCGCGCAATGCACCAGTACACTGATGATGATTTATCGGCCGGAGAAATTGTAGTGTGTATACTTTACATTTCATATAAATTCATTAATTCAATAAAACAGACTATGGGATCTAATTTGACGACCCTAATTAATTAAGTCTTTGCTTCTAGCTAGGATTTTTATGTTTCTAATGGTATGTAAATCTCTCCTATTATATTCAATTTAGAAACTATGATTTTGACAACCTTGCCTACTGGTGCCTTTTAGGCTGAATCACGTTTTGAGTTGAGGCAAAATTGTCTCAATCATTTGTTGTTCATTTTTTCTTATTTTTGTTTTAAATTGCATTTTCAGGAGCACCATTGTATTGATTTGTTTTCAGTAATGCATTGTTATAACGATGTTAATCTCCAAAAATTACGGTATCATTTCCATTGCAAATGTAAATATTTTATCTCTGTTTATTGGTATACATATAGTGGCCCACAAAACATGTTATCTTGTGAACATTTTTGGATTCCAATGCAATGCACTTGCATTCACCTCATTTATTATTCCTTGAGTGACCTCGTGACGGTTGCAAGGAATGGATAATCCTCATGGATGGCTCAACGGCAAAGATAGTGCTAATTAAAGGATGCGCAGTATTTAGTTTTTCTTGACTTCTCATAACACATAATAAGCAATCATATATAGCCTAGACCACATTGAGATAAGTGTAAAATTTATTTCGTAGAGTATATATTCGTCTCGCAGATTACTAAGGACTTCTATAATTTGTTTTATTATTACTATACGAACACTCTCATGTGACACCTCGATTTGATACCCGATGTGACGCCCCTAAACTTTAGCTCTGGATTTAAACACCACCAACTTGTCTGTGGGTGTTGCTCAAATAAGTGCAGCGCGCCCAAGAAAGGTGGCAGAGACCAGTACTTGTATTTGTTTGTTTATCTATATGATGAAGTTAGTTTGTGGCTTCATCTTCTCTAATATTGTTCAATAAAACCTTTTTTAAGTTTGATAAAATTTGTATAAAAATGCTAATATTTAACATACTAAATATGCAGATTAACTATGGAGTACATTTTCATAAATGACATACTAATGCCTACTTGAATTCATAAATATTGATACTGTTTCTATAAACTTATTAGTCGAAGTTAAGACGAAGATTAAGGGAGTATATATGTACACATGTCCGACACCACACGTGTGCAGTTTCTATAAAGCGATAGGTTTCAACAATCTAGACATGCCTTAGGCCGATAACACCTATAGTTCCTTTTAAGGGTGTGTTTATTTTGAGGGCAAATTTGGTTGGGATATGGTAATTCATGGACTC